TTTTTTCATTTCACTGCTGTATTTGTTTTCTCTTCTTCTCGTTTTAGTCTTGTGGTATCTCTTTTCAGATGGAGTTCTTGGCATTTGAAGATGGAACACTACGCGATGAGCGTTATAGGCATACTGAGCTCATTGAGGAGCCATTTCAAAAAACGAGAAAAGTCTATCTGCAGCAGCCCAATGCAACCCATTCCAGTCTTGCGGATTTTCAGGATACTGCACCCTCTAACGGCGTCACAACCTTTAGCCATAACCCTAAGAGTCTGGTGTTTGAGAATTTCATCGTGAACGAGACGTATACAATGGTGCTCACCCTTATCAACTGCACAAATCGCTCTACAACTTTTAGAGCCTTGCCGATATCTCCAAAGTACAGAGACGTGCTCCGAGCAGAGTACTCTCCACCACCGAAACTTTCGCCAGGATTGTCATGGAAGGTGAAGATTATATTTACACCTGTGGAGAATGTAGATGTGGAAACGGCTGTCGCTTTTAGAACAGAAGAGGGAATTCTGTTTGTCCCTGTAAAAGCACTTCACCGACGTTCTGTTTTGTCCTTTTCACCGGAAAATCTTGATTTTGGTGTGGTTGTGTTCGGAGAGAAGGTGAGTCGAGTGTTGACGCTGCGAAATGATGGAGCTCTTCCAGCAAAGGTTTTTATTTCCGGGTCTCTCCGTAGGTGGATGGAGGTGCTTCACAAGGATCTTCAAAGCGGAAAGGAGGCACCGGTTGTGAGCGTAAAGCCGGTTACATACCAGATGGTGGTTAATCCATTTTCCTCTTGTACCCTAGAGGTAACATTTTCTCCTCATCAAGATACCACCATTGATGATGATATTGAGCTTCGTTACGAATCAGAGGATATAACGTGTGTCCGGAAGATACCTGTCAAGGGCTTTGGAGGTTCGCTTCCAGTATACGTCTCTTCTTCACCCGAAATAGACTTTAGGTGGTGCTTTTACGAAAATACGTATTGTGATAAAATTACCATTACAAATGCCACCAATGTGTCGGTAACAGTAGTACCAGAGATTCCGCCTATGATTGCATCTTCGTTATCTTTTTCACCGGCGAATGTGTGTGTTCAAGCAAATGATACGTTTGATGTCTACGTCTTTTTTACGCCGAGGCGTGGTCTTGAGACTGTAATTTCCACACTGGTCAAGCTGATCGTTTCAGGGCAGGCATCACCAATCTCTGTGACATTGAAGGCTTCACTTACTGAACGAGGTTTCACTGTGGAACCGAGCAAACTTGACTACGGCGTTAGTGGGCCTGATGAGGAAATAATATTTCCATTGAAAGTAAAGAATCTCTCTAGCTTGCCGCAGACACTCGGATTCTTGAAGCTGCCTGAGAATGTACGAATAGTACCGTTTCAAACTATTACGCTGTTGCCAAAAGAGATTGTTGAATTTAAGGTTGGAGTGAGACCACCCACACTGGGCCAGTACACACAAGTGGTTAAGGTTACAAATGAGTATGGAGATTATCGCACTTTGCAGCTTACAGGGTGTGGCCGCAAGTACAGCATGCAGTTCTCAAAACCATGTGTGAGCCTCTCTTCTTGCCCTACTAACGCTGAAACAAGCTGCACAACGGTGCTCCAAAACCGGGGTTCCACGCCTCAAAAGTTTTGCTTGAATTCTACAACTTCATTGCTGAGAGTGTCTCCGTCATCAGGCGTGCTGTACCCCGGGGAAGCTGTTCCAGTTGTTGTTATATTCGAGCCACCGAGCAATCAGCCAATAGAACCAGTTGTAGAAGAAATTGTTGCACGCCCTGTGGCTAGGTTTTCAACTAAAAAGGGGAAAGAACGCGAAGGTCAGATGGTGCTAGAAAAGAATTTGGGAAATATTGATGATCTGTACAAAGAATGGGAAAGTAACTCACCCGAAGAAGAATGGAGCAGGCATCGTACCTTCTTTATAAAATGCACGTGTGGGACTGAATCATATATGGAGATGTTTTTCCTTCAGGTTAATTGTACTGTAATCAAGCCAACTCTTCTTGCGAGGTTCCTTTCGCGCGTTGATCATAAGGTTCTTACCAAAAATGAGTCAACGAAGCGCAATTTGAAAAAAAATGTTCCGGTGCAGCCAGTTATGGAACAAGCGCCTCTTGTAGAAGTGTCTCCGAGTGGCACCCATCTAACCATAGAGTTTGGTGAGGTGCCATTGAAACACTACAGTGAGAAGGCCGTTTTCCTACAGTACAATGGTGAGAAGGCTATTAGTTTACGTATACGTCCGACTGACACATTATCTCCTTTTCGTATAGTGAAACTTCCACCTGCGATACTGTCTCAAAATGAAGAATGTGCAATGGGAATTAGATTTCTTCCCACAGAGTATGGATTGTACAAGGATCATATTACCATTGCCTCTACTGAGGCGAATGATATCATATTGTCTTTCTCAGGTGTTTGCAGACCTGCTGATTTGTTGATCAGCCGGGATCGTGACGTTGCCGAAGGGCGTATGCACTCGATTGAGCGACTTGTATTTGAATCTGTAGAGGTGGGGCATGAAGCCCGAGAACAAATGTTTTTTCACAACCTGAGTTCGTTGCCCATTGAGGTGCACGCAAAGTTTGTAACTGAAGAAGGCGAGAAACCGGAGTGGCCGGAGGCCCAATCATTTGTAATTGAGTGTGATCAGTTTACAATACCTGGGAACTGCAAGATGAGCACTAATCTGCTTTTTTGCCCTCAAGCCGTGGGTATCTTCCGTTTGTCACTGCACGTCTCTGCTGGTGCGTATGAGCATACTATTCTTGTTGAGGGTCGAGCGTGCGACAAATTTGTTTTCTTCACATTTCCAGATCAATCACAGCTAACAGAAACCAGGCGTGTACGATATCCCAGCGTACACCAAGATGTCTTTCCTACAGACGGTCTTTCTGCCCTGTGTCCCGTTCAATTTCATTGCATCACAGGTGAAACAAAGACCATTACTGTCGGGTG